CTGGTCGTACCCCTTTTTCTGAGGCTTTCCTTTCCGGCGTCTTCACCTCCCAAACAAAACTTTTCAAGTTTCCCAGTCAGCGACCCCTGCAGCACCGGTCTCGAATAGACATCTGAGTTTATCCAGCACCTTGCCCGGGAAGAGGGTCCCGACACTGCAGCTCCGGAGGGCTTAAGGGGAGGAGCCCCTGTGATTTCACCGAGGGCCTGTCGGGAGAGAGACGGGAAGGCGCTGGCCTGAAGCCCGGCGTTGGGAACGGGTTCTCGGATTTCTTCCTCCTCTCGGGTCGGTGGGAGAAGAGCCAGACAGCCTCGTCCCTGAGTGTCGAGAGAAGGAGAAGGAAAAAAGACCCCTCGGCAAGCAAAAAGAACGTGGGTTTTGGTCTCTCTCTCTCTCTCTCTCTCTCTCTCTCTCTCTCTCTCTCTCTCTCTCTCTCTTCGTTGATTTTTATTTATTTATTTATTTTTTTATCTCGGACTTTGGAGAAGGGTCCAGATCTCCTTGGGAGCACGAACCCACGACAGCAACTCCGGAAGCTGCTCTGCCCCTCCTGGCTCACTCCCACCCTTCACCCTCCTCCGGTTTGCAAACACTCGAAGCCAGTAGATGTGGACCCCGAACCGAGCCGGATCCAGGTGGAACAGCCACTCAGACAGGTGGGGCCTGGTGTAGGTGAGGGGGCCCGTCGGGCCTGGGGGGGGGGTACTAGCGCTCCCAAACTTTCTAAGGAGGGAGCAAACTAAAGAGGAAGGGAGCCAAAATAAAATAAGAGCTGGAATGTCTAGGTGAATTAACTCGAAATACTTTTTCCCCCACGGAGAAAGAGAGAGGAGTTGGATCCAAATTGGAGTTTGGGTGCTAGGGTTTGGGTAGGGTTCCGTGTACGAAGACAAACGGGATATTTGATTAAAGAGAAAAAATAATATATTGGAGAAGTGTGTGGAGTCTCCTTGATTTCAGGTGTTACAGGGTTTTTAATCCTTGGGACCAGGGCCAACCTGACTGTGTATAGTTCAGCTCCAGAACCGTTTGGGAGGGGTGGGGATGAAGACTGCTTGCAGTAGTGGGTGCCTAGGAGCTCTGCATCTCTGCTGGTCGCTCTCGGAAAGCACAGCCTGGAACTCGGGAGGAAACCTGCTAGCAGCGACCGGGTGGCTTCAGCGTTCCCAGGGACCGAGAAAGCGGGACGGGGAAACTCAGGGCCCAAGAAGGCCCTTTGGTAGGAACGTAAGGAAATCGCAACAAAGAGGAGTCCAAGGACTGTACAAATAACATAGGCTTGTGTGTGTGTGTGTGTGTGTGTGTGTGTGTGTGTGTGTGTGTGTGTGTGTGTTAGAGAGAGAAAGAATGTTTCCAGAATAAAAGGTCTCCACAGTCGGGGAGGGAAGAAATACATCCAAATACTGGAGTGTTCTAAGGTGACAACCCAACCCACAAGCTTTTTCTGGGGCCTTCTAGGAAAACAGATTGGGGGGTGGGGTTTCATGCACAGAGGTGGTAAAAGAAAAGGGGAAATTATTATCTCAAAGCCGTTCCCACACCCAGGACTTTCCTGAGGCTTACAAACAAAAACTGCCATCCTCAATGCGTGGGTCAACTAAGCAATGTATTTTTCTGAGGTTCGGGACCAAAGCCTGCACCCAGCTCGCTGACTTCCCCCACCCCTTTGATGGCCTCTCCCCGTACCACTTCCTGCTTCTAACAAAATTCCTGAAGATCCTTAACCAATACCCAAGGACTCCCCCTCCAGCACCCACCCACCCCCATATTGTTATACCCTCCAAATGAAGACCCAAGCCCCGAGCGCTAATTGAATTAGTCTATTGAAAAGACTGTCAGGTACAATCACTCGGCCAGAGGCCTCACATTTCCCAAGGTCTATAGGCTTTGGGGACCTGCAATGTATAGTCTGACCTTCTGGCTCATGATAATACCCGCACTTGTAGCAGAAATCTCCTCGTATTCACTCTCAACAAAACCGCTGGTCACCCAGTCCCCGTAGGAAGGCTGCACGCTATTGTGCTGGGACAACTCATTCATGTCCCGCACGGCGAGGCCCCACCGCCATCTCCTCTACACTGGAAATGGGATTACCACCGTGTGCCGGCAACACCACCTACTGCAGGCCCACGGAGCTCACTTCTGAGTGAAGAGGGGTGGCTTTCGCACCTCCACCCCCCATCCACTTCTGAGGGGGGAGCTGGAGGGAACCTTCAGGTTGTCTCTGCCCTCACAAAATCCAAAATTCTTCAGAAACCCCTCAATGACAGGAGATCTATCCCCTTCCGAAATGTCACACACAGTGAACGCTCAGCAAACATACTTCTTAGTGGGCACCAGTGGGGCTGACTTGGGTCCCAGGCATTTGAGGGTCTCCTGTCCCCTGCACAGTTACACACCAACACGTAAGCAGTGCTTTTGCAGACTGGGTCTCCCCATGAGTGGCTCTCACCTACATGGGTGAAGAGACGCAAAGACAAGGAGTTAGCTGTTTGGTTGTTGTTTACTAGATTTGAAACAAACTTTCTTAGTTTCTCCCCTTAGAAAACTCAAGTCTTCCCTTTGTCTGATCTCATATTTCTCGGCAGCGCCCCCCCCCCCACACTCCTCAGGCCCATATGCAACTCTTCCCTCTAGCCAGATGTCTTTTGCATGGAAGTCAGAGTTGAGCATCAAGGACTGGAGGATGCTTAGGGACCGGAGATGGTTGGAAGGCATGGGGTCTCCTTATTCCGTGTATCATGGTTCCCAGCCCAGGGGGCTGCTTTTGGGGTCGGAGGGCTATCAACACTCCCATACATTTTGGCCTTTGAAACTAAACAAAATCTTTTTCTTTGCCCTGTTTTCCCCCCTCCGAGTTCACTTAGGCTGGGTATGAAAAGGTGGCAGTGAGGACGGTCAGTCTTTTGGGGTGATAAAGCCCAGTCCTTAGCCCTTCTGCACAAGTAACTACCCAGCTTAAAACTGTAAGGCAATGGAAGAACATGCTGATCTCCACTAGTTCCTGTACTTGGGACCCTGGAGCTGGTGGCTTTTGGAGAAAAGGGCTGCATTCCATTCCGGTTCGGTACCCACACTGCCTTACCTGTCTGCCTTCCTGGCCTGGGCATCTATCCAGTGGCAAGACATCCCTTAACTACCCAAAGCAGAAGAGAGTATCTTGAAAAAACGCAAGGACTCCAATGCAGTCACACTGGCATGCATCTCTGCACACAGACACCAAGCCCCTTTACCCAGATACTTGAACACACCACTCACCCTGCCCCTGCTGTGGTTCCTCACCCACATGCCAGCCCTGGGCTCGGAGTTCTCTGGACCCCCTCACACAAGTGTCTCAGCCAATATTTGCTCACTCAGCCTGCACACACCTCACGCCAAGGACGTCAGCACAGGCACATTAGTTAGTTCCCAACAGTAGATTCAGTTTTAGGAGGGAGAGGAGGGCGTGGAGCCTGGGTGGGGGTCGCGGAGCTCGGGCGACAAGTCTAAAGGAGCATCCGTCCGGGGCTGGATCTGGGGGGTGGAGTGGGGGGTGGGGACAAGCCAGTGCGCTGCAGAGGAGCTTCGCCTAATCCAGCCGGAGCTCGTGGGCCGCGGGTGCATTTATCATCCTATTACTGTAACAAATCCGAGCTCTACTACATGAAAGGTAAAATGAATTACCGACGTTAAGCCGTCAATAAAGTCATTTCTGTAAATGGTGTCTCCAAAGGGCCGCCGCATTATTCAGCTGGCTTTATCAGCTGGCTGGAAATTACGTACAGGACCGGGCCGCGCGGCGCGCGGGGCCGCTCACTTTGATTAAACGTCTTGCCAGCGCTATGTGACAGAGCTTTTGACCAGGGTTTTATTCACAGGCCTGTGATGAACGCCAAGCTGATCAGGCGGAATGAAGAGTAATTAAAACCTATAAATTATCTTCCGCAGCCCTTCTCACGGCGTCTCCTGCAGGCGAGATAAGGCGTCGAGACCCTATTTACGGCGCTGAAAGGGACCGCGGCGCACAAAAGCTACGCGGCTAAATAGGATATTGATAGTGTCCTAATTAGAATTTAATTAAGTACCCACGGTCGCTTGCGGGATAAAGATTTCAATTTTGCGAACTTAAATATAAATAAAAATCCCACCTCTATTTCGGGGGGAAGGAACTAGGGCAACTGGAGATTTCGGGGAGCCCTTGGGTTAGAAACAGAAGGGAACCCACGAGACGGTATAGTGGATCTGGAGTGGCTTCAGGAAGTTCGGGAGACCGAGGTGGCCCCAGAGATGCACTCTGGAGAGGTTCTCGCCATCAGGCCTCAGCACAGTACGTTTTGGAAACTCGGCCCCGGGAAATCGGGAGATTCTCGGTTGAGCCGAGATGCAGCTTGGAATACGAATTCCCGGCTTCTTCCTGTCTCCGGGACAAACTTCGCCTCACTGCCCGGTTGGACTTGTGGGTTCGGTTGTATATATATATTTTTTTAACTGGGGGTATAGAGTTTAACGCTATTGTCCCAAAGAGATAGACAGAAACTAGATAGATCGCCATTGGGGATGGCGATCAGGGAAGCGTAGTAGGTGGGGAAGGCCTCCTTTGCAGGCGCTCAAGTCGTCTTGGACCAAAGGCTTCCGCAGTCTATTCGTCTGCCGACCCTCCAAAACCGCTCGAAGGCAGATCACTCCCTGCGCCTAGCTCCCTTCACTCCCTAGCCTTGGTTATGGAAAACTTTTGAAGCACTTTCGCTTGGAAAAAGAGAAAATGCCCAGAATATAGGACCGTAGGAGCCGCTGGAGGCGAGAATACTCGGGGCTCCCGTCCCAAGTCGAGTTCTGTGAATTCAGCTATCCTAGAATTGGGGTAACCCTTTGTCCATGGTCTTCAGTCTGCCAAGGCAAACGTTTGAAGTGGTTTTGTTGGTTTGACTTTTTTTTTTTTTTTTAAACTTAGCAGGGAAAATCTAACACAGAGATTTCCCTGAACTTGAAACTCAAACCCAGGCCTTGCAAGGAGGCACAACATGTCGCCGAGCTCAGGGGCTCTCTGGAGACAATTCTACCGGGCTATGACAACCCGAACTCCCCGCAGCCCAGGAAGGATCGGGCGGCAGGCGTTGGGGCTCTTGCGTGGCCTCCGGGCATGGCTCCACGGCCGGCGTCTAGGCAGCTCGCTGGTGTTGATGATCCAGACGGAGAAGGGTATGGCTGCGGATCTCTCGGCAACAGCGTGGCTAGGCAGTGACGCAAACCAGCAGTGCCAGCAAGGTGTAGCAGGCCGCTTAGGTTTGCAATTAGTGGAAAACAAACTGCCTCTCTGAAAGTAGCCAACACGAAGTTTTTTGTTTCATGCCCGATATCTTGCTTTCATTCCTTCACACACACACACACACACACACACACACACACACACACACACACAGAGAGAGAGAGGGAGAGGGGGGAGGAAGAGAAGGGGGGGGGGGATGAGCTAAATGTTTCGGGCGTGCGCGGGAGGTGGGGGGGGGGTGCATAGTAACCCAAGTCCCTGCCGCCTGTCGCTGTCCCCAGCGCTCACGAACCCATAATCCTGTATTCCTCCAACAAGTTGTGGAGTTGCTTCTCTTATCTGCCTACATTCCAAATTCTAGTTCTCTTGGATATCTTCGTGCCCTCTTCAGTCCGGATCTGAAGAAGGGGGAGGGGTGTGGGCACAGATGGGGGCAGGGCGGGAGGACGTACCGGGCCCGAGCCTCTGCACCCCCTCTCCACCCACGGCCGCCGCCCCCGGATTATTTATCCGCAAAGTCCCGCGCGCACTCATTGGACCGAGCCCTGAGTGTCAGCGCGAGTCGCGGCTCGCCATTGGTCCCGCACACGTGCGGCCCTGACTCACGTGCTTCCGGTTTGAAGGCAAAAAGTGTGCCTGGGTGATTTTTTTTTTTTTTTAAGCGAGAGAGTTTGTGCAAAGATCCGAGCTGTCAGAGATTTCAGGGGGGAAAAAAGGAGCCCGGCACTGGCGGAGACGCACTCTCCCTGCAAAAAGCAAAGGCGATTAAAGGCGCTGCCAGCCTCGCGCTCTGGGCACAGCTGAGCATGAAACTGGGGAAGTCAAACCCCTCACTACTGCCTAGGAAGATGGGTAGACTTTAAAGACTATTTTTTCCCTTTAAGAAAAAAAAATCTCGGAGCTTTAAAAAAAATCCTTTTTCTTCTTTTTTTTTTTCTTTTCTGCCCCCCTCTTTTTTGGGGCTGTGGTTTACTCCCCCATTAAGACCAATCACTGAAATCTGGTTGCTGAAAGAAAAAAAAAAAAAAGAGAGAGAGAAAAGAAAAGAAAAGGAAAGGAAAAAATAGCCAAGTGTCTTCTCTGTATCTGGATGTCTACAAATTAGAGAGAGGGAAAGAGCGAGATCTGCTCCACCAGAGCGGGCGAGAGCCAGGCCAGACGCCCGGCTTTCTTTTTTGCCTCCTGCACCCGCCCTGTGCCTTCGCTGAGGCTTCGCCTTGACTCCTTCCTCTCCGCGCACCCCCACGGGCCCGCTGGCAAAGTGGGGTGGGG